TGTGTTCGGCCATCCAGTGTGATAATTGACGGTTGGTTCTGACTATGTATGCGTTACCGCAACTGCAGGTGAACTGGTATACTGTGTGTGAGACAGAACTGGATTGCCAACCATGTACATGTTTGTCCAAATCGATTCCACGAGTAGAGGCAGTAAGTTGAGCAGCTGGGAATGTGCGGTTGAGAGCTGACTTCAACTTTTGGCGCATACATAGGCAGAACCAAACGTCAATTATCACACTGGATGGCCGAACACATTCCAAAGTGGTTGGCCAAGTCGATGACGCAACCCAAGCCCAGCAATCAGACGGTCACACGTAACCCGGGGTCATCAATTGCAAAAAACCTCATGACAACCAAGCACATAATTGATCTCGCTTCCTCTTTTAAACCATTGTTACGTAATTGCAATGCCAAACTTTTGGTGAAAAGTGAGGCCTTGCTAATCCGATTACTTTGATCACTACAAAGATCACGTGAATTTCGAGACATCACTGTCAGGAAATTTCCTGTCCATAAATGGACTTGTTCCGAACTCCGCACCCACCCCGCAAACACAAGAAGAAACAACCGTTACACTTTGCTCTGAAAGTTTTGATTTTTTTAAATTATTTCGTTTACGACTGTCACTATGACAACAAAAACGCGAAACGATTTAAATCACTGACTCACTTCCATCACCGATTCGTAGGCGGTGGAACACGAGCTCACATCGGTATCATACAGCCGATTCACCGTGCTCTTGCTCAGCATGGTCTGGACCTCCACCGACTGGCTAGACACTCGAGTCCCCCGATTGGTTGTTGTCACTGGATCATCCGTAAACGCCAGATCCGCGTAGGTCTGCGTTCGAGTGTGCGGGTTAGTGCGATTCGCTTCGGGATCAGGGGAAGTCACATTGGTTGTCGTTTGTTTCACCGGTGACTGAGATAGCGGACTGGTTTGTGATTGCGCTTCCCGAGCCAGATGATAAACGTGGTGCATATGGGATGGCCTGTAACGCAAACACAGTGTGTGAAAAATGTTAAATAGGAGACGGTGAGAGAATGAATGGTTGCTACTTTCGAACAGACAGTTTGTTCCCATCCGTATTAACAAGCAAGCAATTGAAAAAGTGACGGGTAAATGTAAAATCTGACGTTCGTGAACGTGTACAAAGGTGAGCATTGACGAGGTTCGTCGTCGTGTGCTGGATGTGGACAGTTACTCTCTAACGGAAGTGATCGATCTACACCCCCACCCCCTCCTCGTCCTCCGATGGCTTGTCCACGTACTCTCTTTCCACGTGCGGAGCAAGGTTGGAAGAAACGCCGCAGCGGTCAGACCGTGACACAGCGTAGAGGCATGAAGAAGCCGGCTTCAGCTCTGGCTTCGGTTGGTGCAGTCCGCCTTTCAGGTTGGGACCAAAGGGATGAGGATTGTCGTTGGTTAGAGACACTGAGAGATATGGCCCAGAATAGAATTCAGCGACACGAATGCTGTACGGTTTGCCTGTTGAGTTACCATGTCCCATAAGAAAACGATACAAAATATCAAAATATCAAAAAATAGCGGTGAAAAAATACGGTGAAACAAAAAATATCCTATTTATTTTTAATTTTCCATTTTATCAGTTCCACCTTTTAACTATGTTCTTTATCCCAACCCCCCTCCCCATCCCGTTATTGATGTTGTTATTATTCTTGTGGTATTAGCAACATTTTTGTCCACAGCCAGTGTTACATATATATATATATATATATATATATATATATATATATATATCAGTTCAGTTGTTCAGTTGTTACAACCATTAACCATGCACTTTCGTGTGCCGGTTTTGGTTGTTGTCTTTTGGTTGCCCATTTGGATAAAAGAGAGAAATGAAGATTGGAATGTCGAAGCAAATTCAGCGGAAGGTGGGGAATACACATAGAGTGGTGTTAGGAAAATAACGAGTGGATGCACGAGCGTTACTGTTTGCGATACCCAGCCATATCACTCAGTGTAGCTAACCATCGGTGACCATCATCCCAAGGTCCCCAACCAAGGAGCCTAACGGGGCCTATGTGACCTAGTCTCCGGTTAAGGTTTTCATACCCTCACATATATATATATGTGTATATATATATATATATATATATATATTGATGTTCAGTTGTTCGCCTAGCTTGGCAATTGTATTGCAAACGTTTCATCACCAATCGATGTGACATTCTCAATGCAGTAACTGGGTGAGCGCTTACGAGTGTCCTCTTCCTTTTATAGGTCACTGAGTGGCGTTGCCTGATTGGCCAGCCGTCAGACTGCTCGCGTTCACCTCATCCCCTATCGGCACAAGGCGAACAAACCTTGGCCAACCAGGCAACGCCACATCACTCAATGACCCATTGAGAATGTCACCTCGATAGGTGATGAAACGTTTGTAATACAATTGCCAAGCTGGGCGAACAACTGGACATCAAATTATAACACCCGAGCTATAAAAACAACAATCAACACCGTTGTTTACAAAAGCTGGATATGGATTAGGTCACAAGGCATTTAAGTATAAATTTACAGGCAAAATGTTTAACCATCCATCCTACCGTTACATCTTCAATAAGGCAAAATTGCAAAACAAAACATACGAACCAAAGCTGTGTATTGATATCAGATTGATGCCGGATATGTTTCGCGTCTCGGAGGAGAAGAGAGATTCCATCAGATTTGTAGTCAATCATCAGAACCTTTTTGTGTCTGATTCAATAATCGGCCCTGGTGCCCGAACCACAAGACAACAACAACCTGTTGATTTCCACTTGGTACCTTGCCGCTTATTTTCATATCTGATGCGTTTCGTCACGTTACTTTTTTTTACTTGGTTGGATAATTACGCGGAAAACGAAAAGTAAGATAAGTTGTAATTTTGAAAACACAGCGATGTCGGTACAGGTGAAAATGAGTCGACGTTTCGGTTACCGGGGGTAACCTTTAGCAAGGCGATTTTATAATCGAAGATTAGACATGACCTAGGAAATCACGCGGTTAATCTTCACACACAGAGTTAACTTTTCCTGGTATTCTCTCTGATAATAAACTTATCTGAATATTGTATTGTATTATGCATAACTTTTGCAAGCAATAAAGCTTGCATTTCAGCTCAAAATAGCTATACACACCAAGCATCACAATGTACATTTTCAATAGGGAGAAATTTTTTTACAGACGTGGCGACATTTCATAATCCGAAGTTAAAACAAAATTCACTTATTACCCTCTCTTTGTTTGTGAGCCAACATGAAAGATAGGGGATAGATGAAGTTCGGTAAACTTTTCTTCCAGATCAAACTTAACGGAATTGAGAGTGTGTTGAATTATGGGAACGACAACACATCAGTGCAGTGGGTGGTCCAAATCTATGAGAATCCCCCGGCTGAAATTCACACCGAAAGTTACGTGACACTCTGAAAGCTTTAAAGCTAACTCAATCACAGGAATAGAAGAGACAAGGCTAATAATAGTTAGACCGCGGCGTAAGACTCTGAAGTCCTGTTTGAGTAAGCCAGGAAAAATAACCGGGGAACAGCAGATTAAGAT